TTACCTCGGTGGGGCCACCTGCTGCAGCGACGGCGGCGGCCGGAGGCAAACCTCCCGGCGTGGCAGGCGTCAGGAGAGGCATCGGCGGAGTCACGGCTTTGCCGACCCGAAGGTACTGACCCCCCAGGTCAAAGAGGTTCATGGAGGAAACGGCATCTTGAGAAGATTGTGCTTTCTCGTACTCTGCGGTGAGGAAGAGGAGGATTTACAAATGATGCTTTTTACTGCCAAATTCAGCCGCTCTCTCATCACACAGCTGTGGTCTGTATCTGCAAAAGGACTGCTTAGAGCTCCCGTGAGAAGACTCCCACTGCTTGGCTCGCTGACCTCGCCTCTGGCCTCACAAGCACTGCTGAGAGCAGCAGAGGAAAATCCCTAAACCTCTGTAACAGTGACTAAAACCATCCAGCTATTAACTATCTTCCTAAGTTCAGGGACAGATCTGCTCCAATTTTATTTCTATCCCATTGCTTAATGTAGTTCTTCCACTAGAGTAAAAAAAAACAACCCCAAAACAACCTCAAAAACCCCAACCAACAACGAAAAAAGACGAGGAAGCTCCCAGCTACTCTCCCTGCCCCAGGCCACAGCCCAGCCGGCCGTTTTACCAATGAAACCATAGCCTTTGTGCTTCCCCGTCGTGGGATCCCTGGCGAGCGTGCAGGATTTAATCTTCCCAAAGGCCTCAAACACGCTCTTGATGTCATCGTCGGAAAGGTCCTGGTGAACGGACGCCACGTAGATGCGGTTGAACGCCCGGGCCTCTTCTGCCAGCTGGTCGATAATGGGTTGCGCCTGACCGATGTTGCTCGGCCTGCCGACCTGCAGGGAACACAGACGCGCTCCTGTGAGCGTTACCCAGCCCAGCCCTCGGCCACCCGCCGGCCTCCTCGGACCAGGGAACGCCACCTCGTCAGCCCCAATCAGCCAAGGGCAGCAGCCAGCTCAGCTCCGGGACACGATCTGCGCTGCCGGGGCCGGGCAGGTACCGAGAGCCCGGACAGACGCTGCTCTCTCCTCCACCCCATTTCCCCATTTACGGTCCCTGACCCGCCACAGCCCGACTTTCAGAATCAGTTTCAATTCCTTGAAGGAAACCACAGTGCTACAGCCTGCCCCTGGAGGCTCCCCCAGTCCCCTCAGGAATCGGACACTGCAGATACGCAGAGTATCAGAGACAGAAAAGTAAGACAGAAAATGCTTTGCAGAAAATTACAGTCTTCCCCCCCGGTTTCAAAGTTTTACGTTTGCGAGATCCTCTCTTACTGGCCAAAAGAAAACACAGCTACAGCCCCTGCTCCTTTCTCTCTGTGGTAAATGCCTTCTCTCTGTACCGTAAGGGTGGATCTCTACTTGAAGTCCCTCGCACCACCAGGCCAGCAGAAGCCTGATGCTACTTATCTTCTACCCATAGAGGAAAAGAAGAAGGAGGAGGCGTTAAAACATCAAGAATCACTTTTGGTTTTGTCTCCTGTTCTATGCCTGGGAGGAAAACCCTGAGCTATCTTACCAGGGCGTGTTCCTAGGATTTATTAGCACGCTGGGGGTGTCTCCTCAGAGCCCCGTGCTCAGGGCACCCCTGGGTGTGTCGCTGCTCCGTGCACCCAACAGGCTGAACTCCCGACAGGGGAGCAGGCTCCAGGCTGTCCTGCCCAGCAGCGCTGTGGGAAGCACTTCCAGGCACAACCCCGTTATTCATAGCAAAGAAAACCAGGGATTTTCAGAGTGTGCCTGCTACTCACCTTTATATTTCTTCCACCCAACATGACAGAGTTCATCTGCTCCAAGGCCAGCTGGGCGGCTTCAGGTACCTCGTACTCCACAAAAGCAAAGCCCTAGGACAGAAGCACACGCTTGGTGAGTCACACCAGCCGTATCTGGCCTCAAACCTAGCGCCAAACTAACGGCGCCAGGACTTCCCACACAGCAAATTCCTACCACTGGGGCCCGAGAAGATGTTTTCTTAAAGAAACTTTAATAAAAACCAGAAAGTTGCCCGCAGAAGCACCGACACAACGGCTCCCCACGAGGGCAAAGCCTGCCCCCGCTCCCCTGGAAGCACAACTCGGGGGGTGCCTGGCTCTGGGGCCGTTGACCAACCTTGTGCTTCATCGTCACAGAGTCCCAGGACATATCGATGCTCTTGATGGGTCCGAACGGGGCAAAGGCCTGGCGGATGGTGTCTTCTCCCAGCTCGTAGTATATGGAGCCCACGTACACACGACACATGATGGCCAGGGCGCGCTGCCGCTGTGCTGCCATCTGTATTGGAAAGAAGAACTGGCTGGTTAGC